TTGATTGCATTACATACGCTTCAAATGAGTCTTGAACCCCGAACCCCGAATCCTCGAACCTCCCACACCGCAAGAGCTTTAACTCAATGTTGAAGATAATTTTAACAATTTGTCTTGTGCACACAGGCGCATATTTTCAGCCAGGCCTATTTAATCTAAATAGATGCGTTTGTACACGGCATAATTGTCAATCGAAATTATATAACGCACAAGCCACGTACAGTTAACAGAATACTTTCTGCAACATTTTCGCTATGTACACATTATGCGGGCATCCCAATCAAACGCTGTTGGCATTTTAATCATTGTGCAGAAGAAGGAAATATGTTTAAAATAAAAACGATGTGATCCGAATGCCAATCAATTGCTTGATTTAAGTTAAATGACAACAATATTTGTAATTTTATTTTTATTAAACCACACGTGTATATACCGGTTCCGTACAGGTTTTTTTCATTTTTCTTGCACATTTAAATCAATTTAAGGTCATCAGTCAAATGTTGTCATTTAACTATTGGAGTTTTTTCTGTTTCGTTTATTTGCCATCTGCTGTTAATGAATTTCAGCGTAAATATTTTCAAACATGCGAGAAACGATTAGTAGAAAGATCAATAAATGTTACTATACAAACAGTTCCTCCGAAAATTTATTTCAGATGTATTTGACGCATTTGTTGTGTTCATCATTATCTTGCATTTTCTCAACAGACTGATTTTAATTATTTTCCATTCGAAAATGGAAAACAAATTTTCTTTGAAGTTGTAAACGTTAAACTATTTATTCTTCTTGCCATTCATTTTGTGTTATTTCATTCTCCAATGCACAAAAGACACTCTTGAAAAGAAAATGGAAAGGAAGAAGAGCCACTTAACGCTATTTTAAATAAGCTTATCTATCGTTGTCTTGCCTGCATCGTTTGAGAATAAATGTGCATCTCAGGCGAACAACTGCACAGTAACGAAGCATAAGAAAAGAAAGTGACCAAGTATTGTTGTGTGTGTGTGTGTGTGTGTGAATATTTCATACATGGTTTCATATTCTTTAAATATTTCATTTCAGTTAAAAAAGTTCAACATTCATCTCTCAATTCAAAAAAGGCAACCGAACAGGCAATTCGATAACCAAAATAAATACAAATCGATTTTTGCCAATATGTATGTATCTGTGTCTGTGTGATTTTGTCTGTGTGTCGATGGAAATGTGAAAAGAAAAGTTCGTGCTGTTGGTAAAAAAAGAAAAATGTCCAAATTGAATTCATTATTCATGATAGATAGATATAGGTTTGAGGGTTGTGCAACAGTTTTTTTTTTTTTCAAATAAATCCATGAAAATTGAGAATTAAATTTTCTCGAGGATTTGAAACTTTTTTTTGAAAATTAGAACATTCAAGTTGGATAAAAAGTTTGTTGATTCAAGGAAAAGTGGATCAAAAATTGAAGACCAAAAGCAAACCAAAAGCACACACACACAAAAGCTTTTAAACTAAATAAATCACATGAATGTGTTGTTCAAGTGCAAAAAAAAAACAAAGTTCATGGCATTAGTTTTTTTTTCGATAACCAATCTATAATATTATTTAGAAGTCTGCAACAGCTTGATGGCCACAAAAGTGTATCAAGTGTGTGTGCCGGGCAAACCAAAAAAAAAATTGTCAAAGTCTGAAAGTATGAGACACTGTGGAGAAGTAAAAAAATGTATTTCTCTTTCCATCCATTGTACTTTTTAATCGACATACATTTTGTTCATACATCAAATCAGCACCCAGGTACTTCCTATGTTTTGTTTCTATCTCTCTCCTACTCCATATTCAATAACAATTTATATTGAAGTTAAAATGCAAACGTAAAAAGCCCCGAAAATAATTCACATGGCCATAAATTCAATTTTTGAACCTTTTTAAATTTTAATGAAATCTCGTATTGTTCTATTTATGGGAACGGACATGATCGTTATTTGCCTATTTTCATTCGTTATCCCGGGCTCCCATCCGAGGCGCGCGCGCTTAACCTATTGCAATTTTCAGCCGAAATGTGCGAATTTACCTTTATTTTATGTTTCTATCCTCGCCATTCACAAAAGTGGCATAAGCCAGACCTGCATAGACGCCGCATTTTAAATACTGGTATACTTAAAGGCTGGTATACTTTAAGATATATGAACTCTCTCTCTGTTATTAAATGACTAAAATAGGCCAAGTGTACGCTTCTCGATTTACGCCATTACGCAACACGTACGAATAAATAAGTTATGCGGAAGTCGAAATTAAATTTTGCTATAGAAAAAAAAGAATAACGCGAAAAATTGTCTAGGCAGATGGAATGATGGCGAAATACAACCAACCGTACCGACATTGCGTATATGCTTAGCATAGAAATATATCTTTTTTTCTCTTCAACCAAACGATGTTGAGTTGTCATTCACATGGTGAAAAACTGATATCAAATGCCAGTCTGTTGGACATCTGTCACCATTTACAGATAACGCTAAAATCCAGAGATTGTTTTTGAGACGAGGAGAAAGGGTGAAGAAGAAAATGAAGTATTTTCCTCCTCACATGAAGAGGAGTATCCTCCTCCAGTATCCTCCCAAGCATTCCTCCCTTAAGAGGAACAATCCCTGTTAAAAACATACAAATACTACAGCCGTTTGTAAATTAAACAATATTCCTTGTTAATTCTTGTGGAATGGACACACATTTTCTTACTTATTTCATGTAAATGGTGTTGATGTTCTGCAAAAGGTGTCGGAATTACACATGGTTGGCATACATGTGACACATGAATGGTATAAGTCTTCAAACTGCGTATAGATACTTATGTGTAAATAAGTTATCGTACATATTTTCAACAAAAAAAGAAATTAAAAAGATAAAACATTCAATTTATTTTGTGTAAAATTATCAACTTTGTTGGAATATGTTTGTGCAGTGTAAATAAAGTCAAGAAAGAGAAGTGAATTATATTGCAAAGACTACGTAACATAGACCAATGTTGCACCTAACACCAGTAATCCCGAAAAGCGTTATAACGAAAAAGCCAAAGCACCGTTAGCTGTGAGCAAATTGAAGTAAAGTTAACCTTTGACAGCATCACGGTGATAAATAGATTAAAACAATTTATCAAAGATTTAATTAGGCTTAATAAATAAAATATCACATTTTCAACGCATAAATATGAAACATAAAATTTTTATAATTAAAATGAACATAAACTTAAACACGGTCATGCATTTATGAAAAGTTCAATTTTGCTCGTGAATTTGATGCGGAAAATGGAAAAAAATTAAAAAAATTATCGCATAACACACATACATAGACATAAAGATCGGTGACTGAGTTCAAAACAGGTGTACACAGCATGCTTGCTGCTATATGGTCCCGTGTGCATTAAATGGCGATATCAAACTATTCGGTGTAAAAATGGTAAAACATTTTTGTTTCGTTGTGTATTTGTTTGGAGGTTTCTTATGTATGCTTGCTGACTCTGAAATGTTTGAACAACTCAATATGGCATACTAATTTTCGAATGAAAAAATATACAGCTGACTACCGGTGTGAGTATACACAGTGAGCGAGCGCAAGGTGTGTGCTTTTAGTTGGGAATCAGTTCGTCCATTCGGTTTATTCCAATGTTGAAATTTAATTACATCAAGTTTTCATACAATTTCCACAACGAAATCATCTTATTAATGAAATGATGAATTAGGGATACACGAATCAGAAGGCAAACGTACTGATTTTATTGCTGAGAGACAGTTCACTTTTCCAGTGTACATCTCAAGATTAAATATTTTGCTTTATTTTCTATGTTAACTGAAATGTCTGCGTCCTCTCCACATTTATATTTCAAATCCGGTAAAATATTGTTCGTTTTTGACAGCTTTTCACCGGAATTAACACATTTTCTTAGATACGTTTACACGAATTTAACTCAAATGTCAAGTATATGGCAAGACCTGATTTCATTTTACTTCTTCCACTTTGAAAATGTTTGCAGGCAGAAACTCTTCTCTTACGCGGCAAAAAGCTTTATTTTCAATCTAAATTATTCAAACTTTGCATTTCAACGATTTTATATCGCAATTGTCTACTGAATAGTGAGTCACTCGAAGTTACATACATGCACAGAAGCATGAGATTCCTTTTTTAGAATAATAAAAAAATGCATGTCACACTTTACACCGAAAATATAGTTGAAGAACCCCGTCAAATTTCAATTTCGATAAGCTAGATGAAAAAACTGTGGAAACGCTTGAACTGTTAAAATGATCTGATGATTTCCAATTTCAACTTCAATGGGTATTGTGTTGCGGTCTTCATACATTGTCTAAAAAATTGTATTCGCCTTAATCAACTTTGACATAAGTGTCCGAATAGAAATACAATTCCAACTCATCACATCTACAATTTTCAAAAAAATTTGAGAATAAAATGGCGTTGAGTTCTTAAAGACAATCGAAAGTGTCTTTCTACTTTAAATTGCTCACTCCACAGTGAAAAACGGCAGAAATTACTAGATTTTGGTTCTCTGTGATGAAACTCACCGAATCTTTATATGGGTATCATAAAAAACCAATATAAATGACTTAAGTAACTTGAATCTCCTTATCAGAGTGATGACTGTGTATCGATCCGCCCGCATAGTAAAGTGGTTTAAAAAAAAAAGACTCGCTCTCTTTGTCTAGGCACTTATGCTACATAATATCCAATACATAATTAAATTACAAGAATGCTTCCAACTGAACATGAGAATTTATCGGATTCCATAGGATGTCATATTTTCCAAGGGATGCCTCATATTGTTTCGCAATTTATGAATACGGGGCACGCACGGTTACTCATTGTGGAGCATTTTGAAACTATTACTATACAAAAGCAATCTTTGGTGTTCTAATTAAGATTACCGGAAAAATGTTCATTGAATATTACTTTCATTTGTTCAAATGGATAAATATTTAAAATAAAAAACTGATTAATTTATTTTTTCATGCATATATTTTAGGTGTGGATATTTGGAGATTTGTGGTGTTCAATATGGTTGGCAGTTGATGTATGGATGTGTACTGCTTCGATTCTTAATTTATGTGCCATATCGTTGGATCGATACGTAGCTGTTACACGACCTGTTACTTATCCTAGTATAATGTCAACAAAACGCGCCAAATTATTGGTGGCCGGTGTTTGGGTGTTATCGTTCGTTATTTGTCTGCCCCAATTAGTTGGGCTAACGCAAAACCATAAGGTAAGTTACTAAATATAATATTTTTGCTTAGACCACAATGTATTATTCCGGAAATCTTTTGGTAATTACGTCAAAGCATATCACGTGCATGGTATTAGTTGGCCGTAACGAATGACTGCCGTTTAATGTGGTCTAACTTTCAAAACCACAAACTTTTGTTGTGTTTGTATGACGTTTAAAAGTCTTGTACATTGTTAACACAAAGTACCAACGCTAATCTATAGCGTGACCACGTGTAATACGTTTACAATGAAATACAACGATTTTATCATATTTTAATCAATTCGAATGGAGAATCCCCACCCGCCAAATGAAACTATTACATTATATCCCGTTGAATATAGGCGCAAACACGCACTCCCATAATTTGTGGATATTTACGGATCGATGGCAAACGTTCCATTTCGTGTGTGCTACCATTGATTTGATTGGCATATCATTTTTTCTACCATTTTCTTTTTACCACTTTTTACTTTAAAGATACATCATCTCCGGATACAATAAATTTTAAACGCAAAAAAAATCATGATAACCTTTCATTTTTTGTTCGGTCCGGCAATTTTTTTTTATAAATTTTATTTTCCGCTCTGTGATTGATCCACTTAATTTCAATTTTCAATTTAGCGGCACATATCTTATGAGCTTGTGATTTCATTTTGTGGTAACACACCCGATTAACACCTACGCTCTTGTATTTATCATACATTTAAAATCAATCAAATGGCAATGAAATATTTACCACGATCACCCATCCGTAAATGATAGGTGCGGTTAACAACAGATTCGTAAATATTTTGTAAACATAATATTTATAATCAGTGCGTTGACATCAGCAGATTTGGTTCCAGAATTGATTCAAGAAACATGATATACTACATCATATATTTGTTGTTGTTAGAAATGAAATTACATTCCATGTTCAGATTTTTTAACATTTCGTTTCAATTGACCACTGAACTGAATGCGCCATTTTTATTTGCAACTGGATCCAAACACAAGAAAGAGCTATTGACATGCTGTGCACTACACGATTACTATTTTTTGGTTTTCTTCTCGCATCTGACGAAGAAATGAAATACTTGCAATTTACAGTTTTGCTAAAAAATACGAACACCAAAAATAAGTGACAAACTTTCGTTACGATAAATAATTTGGTTTGTTTTTCAATATATCAGTTTTAACATAACGATGCTTTATGCCACTATGTAAATAACAACGAAAACTTTGATGTAAAATGTGTATCATCATTTTAAATTATGCATAAATGTGATGTATAACACAAGTTCGGTTCGTTTTTCTCTATTTTTTGGGTGCGCCACGAAAAAAGTTCATATAACACCAATTACCAAAGTTTAAATTGAAATTCAATCTCAACTCATTAAAACTATTTGTCTCAACTTATTAAAAGTATTTGCCATGCAAATAATGAAATCAATGGCCTGCCACCGATAAACAAAATGGGAAGAGAAAAAAAGCAGTTGACTTTTATGTGTACTTTTATATATGTTGAACAAGGTGCTAGTGGAATGTCCATCAATCACTGCTGTTGCAAATGATGCATACATTGTACTTTGTCCTTGTCTGTTTTCGTCGTCAAATAAGTGAAAGGCAACATCCACTTCACTCTATTGTTATTTAAAACAAATGATTTTACGACTCGGTCGACTCTTTCAACATCATCGCATTCAAATCCGTTGCATCGCCAAACTTACTCTATAAAATGATGAATGAAAATCTATTGTAGAAATTCTATAGTAGAACATGCGAGTTTGAAGAAAACCATATGAATAATGGACGCTCGTGTGCGTTTTTATGTGCGTTTATGCATATGAGCATTTTCAAACGTTTTAAAGGAAATGTTCTTATCACTTAAATGTGAAATGACGACGAAAAGGAACAGAAAATGCATCCCATTTCATGTTCGCTCTTTATGTGTTATGCCACACACAAAATGGGATAATTAATCATTGCTTGGCTTGACATGTCGTCTTTGTCATTTTTTTATCGCCTCTATAAATTCCAAAGATTCTCTTGAATCTTAACAACAGCTTTGAATGAAAATTTTCCACGAGTGAGTTGTCTGTAAATGTGCCTTTGTATGCTATGTTCCCAATCTAGTGACTATTTTGTTCAATTTAAAGTGATGTGTTTGGTTCAAAATCTTCATCAGTATATCTTACTCGTCATCTAATGATGCTTCCATTTTAACCGAATGATATGGTATACGCAATGATGATTCAACATCAATTCCGTCAAAAAATGCAATCAATTTTACAGAACATGAAAAGTTGCAATTTTTTCGTTGACACACCTGCTTTCATATTTTCATAATTTCGATAACAGCAGCACAAAATAAGGTTAATCATCTGACGACTATGATGATGTTATTTTATTGAAATATTGCCTAGACCCAGAAGTTGGTTTTAATCAGCTTAGTTTCTGAATTTAAAATGCCTGTAAATGTATAAGCATCGTATTCGCATCGTTTAATTTGAAACTCATCTATCCTCAGATTAAACATTTAAGTTTAATCTATTTGATGGAAGTGATTCGAATGCAATGCCATTTTCTAAACGTCACTGCCACTGTATACACTACATTAAAGTCTTTACATTTTATTTACATGCATTTTTTTTCCATCATCATTGATGAAAGCACACAAACACAAAACGGTATGGAATTTCAAACAATTGGTGACGACGATATCACCAACGCCTTGACGGTCGATGCAATAATGCAACTATTAAGTCGATGTGGAAAATGAAGAAAGCGTAATCTGCACGTTAAAAAAAATTGTGACAAAACAGCACATTCCCCAAGCAATACCAGTATGTTCCATGTATCGTATTGCATTTTTGCACATTTTCGCGGTGTTCGTCTCTACTGAATGAAATGTGCAATGAAAAGGATATAAATACGGGTATCCAATTTCACCAGCAGCAACCACGATTACAATTTACACATTTTGTATGCAAAAAAACGGGACTTTTTGTAGTAACAGAGAGAGAGAGAGAGGGAAAAGAGCGACAGAAAAACATTGGTAGATAGAAAATCACCTTTACGTTACGTTCGGCGTTGATTGCAAAATGTGTGTTTGTTGACTCGATAATATAAACGTTCGGCTTTTTTTTACCTCTTATTTCATCTTCTCTCTCTACTTTAATACTGTTCGCACAGTGGCAAACATGTAAACACATGTGTGCGGTCGAAATTGGCTCTATCTCGTCAAATATAGGTCAAGTACCAACTCAAATGCAGCGATTCTTTATTTACATTTTATCATCGTAAACTTCTTTCTTGCGTCTAAATTTGAAAAATGTGTTACAAAAGCAGAATGAGTGTGAGAAGAAGAAGAAAAAACTAACACAAACACATAGCAGGAAGAAAAAAACGAACATGTCCTTGGCTTCTTGGAGGCACTAACAATTTATGCTTCTAGATACATACAAGGCTTATTGTTGCGTTGATGAATTTTGTTGATTTAACAAGCGTTTCGAAGGCAAAAATATTACTTTAGATAACTACTATTCTTCGTTTTGTGAATTATTCATTTAACACGTTCCAGTTTGTTTGCTTTGAAACGCAGAGCATTCACTCTCATAAGTTGTAATTACAAATTAAATGTGGCAAACGATTCAAATAATCAATTCAATCACTAAATTATCTTTAATTATAAGGATCATGATTTTTGGGTACTTTGGATGATTGAAAATTTATTTATTAATTTTGTAATTGAATATGAAATATTACATAAAGTTGGTACCGGTCCTTTTAACACATACATGTTTCCCTTCTATTCGTAGCAATTTTCGTATATGTAGACAGTGTACGACGACACAATTCACTTCCGATCTTAAGATATATAGTTCAAGTCTGTATAAAAAATGGAGTAACATGCTTCCAATGGCACAGAACATTTTTCTCACATTTCTGATAAATTATGTTTTTTCTTTTTTATTGAATGAATACAAATATGACAATCAAATTTATTTTCCCTTTTTCAATCATCGATTTTTGATTGGTTTACAGCAAACGACATTTTACATTGTGTTACTTCCTGAAAAGTGAGCAAATTTTTGGTTCATCTTCACATAAGGGTTCCCGGCAATCGAATCGAACAAGATCAGAAATTATCGATTCTCATGACATATAAGGAGGAAAATATAATAATATTCTTGTTAATGCTTGTATGTTCAATCCTCATGAAGATTTGTCGGTTTAAAGTTAAAAAAAAATTACGTACAGACTGTACGGTATCGTATTTTTAATATATACAACTATTTTGGCCTTAAAATCTCACTATTTTGGACTTTTATCGGAGAATTTTGAGTTCAACAAAATTCATATTGGATTCTAACATTTGACATCATGAAATTACATGAATGTTGGAATCCATTGGAATAATATATTTGCTATAAATTCCCCATGCCGTTGTCTGTATGCAAGAGGATTTGTGAAAGAAAAAACTTTAATCTATTTTTTCAAAAAATGGAGAATGCACGAGTTTAATTCGAAATTGAAAATATTCATATAAATCGACAAGCTATGTACGTATATATATTACAGGGAAATCCGATTAGTTTCTGCATGTACGAGATAAACGGTATGATAACTTGTTAACTCCATGGATATGAAGCGTGAAAAAGTGTTGCAAAAAAACGAAGAAAAGGCTTCGATGATATGTATATAGTCATGAGCGATGCACCTGTGGCAAAATGACGCAGGTGGAAAATTATCCAAAAATTAAATGTCACGCGACAAAAAAGAAAATTCTTATATCATATGTAGTACTAAATCGTTTTTACAGACTCTCGCTTAAAAAGATGGTAAATTGCATTTATTGATTCGATAAAATAATATTGTTAATTTGTATTTCATTTTGATTTAGATGCAAATTACCAATTGCTAAAGTGTTAACTAGAACACTATACAAAACAGTTTGATCCAAACATTTGATATACCAACACGCATTGATTTCCAAATGTTTCCACAAAAATCAATTGAAATTCCACAAGTTTTATGTTATCATATATTTTCCATATTGAATTTCGGTTTTTTTCTTTCTATTTGTGTCGGTATATTATTATAGGTGCAAACGTCACTATCAGTATACTATCAATATGAGAACCACACACTTCTCTCAATGACAACTGAAACACCAGCCCAACAACAAAAACCATGTAAATGGACCTGTGAATTAACAAATGACAGAGGCTATGTCGTTTATTCGGCGCTTGGTTCATTTTATATACCAATGTTTGTAATGCTGTTTTTCTATTGGCGAATTTACCGAGCGGCTGTCAGAACAACGCGTGCCATAAATCAAGGATTCAAAACCACAAAGGGTAAGATTGTACATCACCAGAATAATGATATTTACATATTCACATTTTAACACATTATTATGGAGCCGCTTCTTGATCATCGTACCGAAAACATTTATTCTTTTTATTTTACTTTTTATTTCCACATTTTTTTTCTCGTATTTATCAAAAACACATAACATATAACACCTAATACACACATATCACACATCACAAATCACGTGTGTCACATAAAATAGCGACACACCATCTACGTAGGTTGCTCCATAATTTTTTTTAAAATGGTACTTATAGTGTTGCCCGATGTAAACCATTGTCATATTCGTAAAGTTTGATGTTTTGGTATGTATTCGTGCCCTGAACCTTTTGTCGTACGAACGCTATTTGTATTGTTTACAGTGACTGGTAAACTGCGACTCAACAAAAAAATGAATTTTACACGTGAAGATTTTCGTAAAATGATTTACTACGATTTTCGAAGTAAATTATCTCAACAACAGTGTTTCGATCGACTTCATTTGGCCTTTGGCAATGAAGCACCAACCCTTCAGACAATTTATAACTGGTACCGAGAATTCCGTTGCGGTCGTAGTTCGCTCAAAGACGAGTTTCATACAGGTCGTCCAAAATCGGCTGTTGTGCCACAAAACATCGATGCTGTCAGAAAACTGATTATGGAAGATCGTCATGTGACCTACCGTGAGATTGAGGCATCTTTGGGCATTTCATCCCACAGCATACATACAATTTTGCATGAACATTTAGCCGTAAAAAAGATTTGCTCTCGTTGGATCCCACATAAATTGACCGATGAACAAAAAATGGCTCGTGTGAGTTGGTGTAAAGAAATGCTCAAGAAATTCAATCGTGGTGCTTCAAAAGACGTTAATAAAATCGTCACTGGTGACGAATCGTGGATATATGCCTATGAGCCCGAAACGAAACAGCAGTCGACTGTATGGGTCTTCCAAAATGAAGATAACCCAACGAAAGTTGTTCGAGCAAGAAGCACTTCGAAGCGAATGGTCGCCTGTTTTTTCGGGAGAAGTGGTCATGTGGCAACCGTTCCACTAGAGGATCGTAAGACCGTCAATTCTGATTGGTATACCACCATTTGTTTGCCCGAAGTGTTTGGTGAAATAAGAAAAAACAACCACCGTCGCAAAATAATTCTTCATCACGATAATGCGAGCTCTCACACATCTTTTCAAACTACTCGATTTTTGACCGGTCAAAACATCGAACTGATGGGTCATCCACCGTACAGTCCTGACCTGGCACCCAATGACTTTTTTTTGTTCCCAAGCGTGAAGAAAAAACTACGTGGTCAACGATTTTCGACACCAGAAGAAGCAGTTGAAGCGTTCAAAACACACGTTTTGGAGATATCAGTTTCGGAGTGGCACGAATGCTATGACAAATGGTTTCATCGAATGCAAAAGTGTATCGATCATCTCGGGGAATATTTTGAAAAACAATAAAACCATTTTCGACAAAAAACAACTGTGTTATATATGTTTTTAAAAAAAATTATGGAGCAACCCTCGTAATTTGTAGTGATTCTCGAAAGATTTTCTTTTAATTACATACAAAATTTGTAGAGTACATACACACGCACACAGTAAAACAAACACCTTTTATACCTCAAGCTCCAAGACAAAAGATATTTGTATTCTTTATTTTTTACCAGTTACTATGATGAAAAAAAAAATGCCCCCAGTAAAAAATAACAATCACGAACGGATTGCTTAATTGGAATAAGGTTAAATGTTATAATACCTGCAACAATAAAAAATAACGAAAAACTAAGAAGAAGAAGGGATCCGTTTGCGAATTATTGCTGATTTTATCCGTATTTGATGCATAAAAAACCAATGGAAAAAATAGATTCCACCAAACCAATCGATCCAAATTTGTCCAAGAAAGTGTACTTTTTTGTGCAAACAATCCAATACCTTAGCGAGACTATTCACATTTTATTTCTTTTGTTTTATTTGTTCACATTTCAACTTTTCTCACACATACACTCTCAATATATATCCTTTATTCTATTTGCCTCTATATCTTTTATACACTGTTTTTTGTGCATCTATTCAACCTATTCTTAACCAAGTGAATAGGTGTAGCGGTAATTTGCATATATTCCATGACTTATGATATAACAGTTACAATTTGAAATTGTATAATTAGTGATTGTAATGTAGAATTCAGTGGTTTCTGAAAATGAACATGATAAAAAAAACACACACACACTAAGTCAAAACATATAGAACAATCGAGTTTGCTACGTTTTGAAATACTTTATAAAAATAATGTAATATACACATAATTTTTTTTGGTTACATCCTGATAAAATCCATTAGAATATTTGTGATAACACTTCGTAGCTTCCTGAGCATACTTTTACACTGGCATTGTTTACATTTTGAATTTTGTATGAATATATTTTGCAGTAAAAATAGAACTTGTATTTAATACGATGTAAAAGTGTTGCAATTGTATTGCCAAAGTGAATTCATATGGAGGAGTTTTCGTTGAACGATATAAAACAATATTTTGCACTAACGAAATTACACGACTTATGCATAAAAAATACACTTTATGCTTTCAATAGGGTTTGGCTTAGTATTTATTTGGTAAGATGGATGACATGGATGAGAAATAGAGAAAGAGCAAGAAATTGTCATGCGAAAACCAAAAAAACTAAAATCTTTTGCTAGTTTTGTCAAAACTTATAATCTTTTCCCATTATTTATGTTTATTTTCGTTTTGTTATGCATTTTCCGTTGTTGTGTTTTCTTTTGGTCCATACTTCCTCTTTGCCGTCTCTGACTAGATTCTCCTATTTTGCTTCTATTGCCTTCTTATGCATTGGATTTGAACATTTCATATCATGTTGCATTTGAATTTTCCCAAGCCTTGCTCTTCTTCTGTTCACTTTCTCTCTCTCTCTCTCTCTCTCTCTCTCTGTCTCTCATTCTTTGTTCTTTTAAAACTTTTCCATTTCTACTTCGATGAAAAGTTTTCAGTAGATTATCCATTGAACGTTGGCATTTTTTAATTAGAGCTGCGCAGAATTTTATGCATTGCATATATACACTGATGCCAGAAAGTTTGGGTACTATTGAGAAGCATACAGATACACAGAAAAGTCAATTTTTTCACACAAAAACTCACTGCAAAAATGTCACATAAGACACTGTATAAAATGCAAAACTACGAACGATTATGGAGTTCTAGTCAGCTGTTTGCAACTGAGTAAAAGTCTTTTCACAAGTTGACGGCAGCTATAGATTACACTGAATTCCATCGTGGATCTAGTTATTTGACACTGTCAAATTGACAGTTTAGTCATAATTTCAGTACGTACAAAAAATGCAATTTTCAGAGGGTTCCACATTTGATTACTGAATAAACTAAAAGTCATTTCTGAAAGTTAGTTTCTTCAGGTGAAATATAGTCCATACTTTCCATCTACATTTACTGGCCAACCTTCATGAAAAGACTTTTTCATGGTTCACAACACCTATGAAAAACGGAAATTTGTTTGAAACTCGTTAATTATTATATCTGAACTTTCTGGCGGCAGTGTATATGTATACAAAAACAAAATAAAAAGTGTGAAAATGCAAAAGCAAATATCGAGATAACCAACACCGATAAACCGGCGCTCGTACCCATACACACTGAAATAGCACATGGATAATAAAGCATAGACAACGGCTTGGAAAATATGTCGGTTAAATCGTTGCACATGAATGAATCACACAAAAAAATAACTATTCTTTAAAGTTATTTAAAACTTTACGTATTTATTTATTTTTACGCTCTCTGACTCCACTCGATAAATATTTTCCACACTAATCTCGATGCATTCAAAATGCAAAATAGGTTTACAATTTTTATAATCATAATAACTTATAAGCTATTTTAAATGTTTTTGAACGGTGAGACCGTTGTTTTCGTCGTCGTCGTTTTCATTGTCGACAACATTTATTCTAATGCAGATTTCCGAATATGTTTTATCATCATATTATTGTGGCACAAATTCCAAATGTGAATGTCGTTTTTTCCGTCGTCGTCATTGTTATTGTACACGGTTCAGTTATTATCAGTACCGATAGTTTTGCACAAACTGAACTCCGACTTTTGGCGTTTTCGCTGAACATAGTTTAAATATGTATTTTTCAAGCTCAACTATTCGAAAAAGATAAATGTCTAAAAGTCAGAAGAGTTTTCGGTATGACCTCAAAACAAATTGAATGTTTTTGTATTGGAAATATATTATTCTTCATTCCATCATCACCAAGAACCAAATTAAATCGTTGTGCATCGCACTGCAAATTGTAGTCTGCAATAGAACATGAACCAAGAGAAAGAGGGGGATAGAAAGAGAAAAAAGCTCATTCACTCTCTTTGGATAAAACAAAATCAGTTAAAGTGCAAAGTGAAACTCAATCGATATAACGTCGCTTCATATAATGTATCTATATATATAGTTGAAGAGATAACATTTTTGTGTAAATGTAAATAAAGTTTGGTGGTTGGCTAGTGTCTGTTATCTGAAAAGTTTTTTTTTTAGTTGGCCCTTTGCCATTTCAAATAATGTTAGAAAATATGAACGAGTTTTTTGGGTTAACTTTGGAAAGAAAACAACAAGTACATGAGTATCAACATAAATTTTAAACTGGAGTAACGAAGAAGTATTATTAGAGAGCACGTGAAAGGTATCACAAGAGTAAGAAAATGAAAGTAAATACGTATGATTTGAATTGCATCTCGACCCAAATTGCTTTATACACATATTTCGTTTTGCACCAATCTATGCGAACGCAAATATTTAAGGCCCAATATCAATTTATTTATTTAATCTTAAGATCAAATCAATGTCTTTACTTGATTTACTCTCTCCGTATGTATGAAATATATTCGATGGATTTTATTCAATTCGTGTGATGTGCTACACATGTTTACCATTGAGTAATACATATTTAAGTCCACGTTCGTTTGAAATTCTATCT